CCTCTGACCATCGATGCGCTCGCTGCCGCCAACCCGCCTGCCTTCCTTCAAACCCCTCCCTTCCACAAGACGGCGAGCATTCGATCTCGACACCCCTTGATGCAACCGCACACACCAACCAACCACCACGTCGATCGCCGCCCCCCCCCCCCTCAGGAGCTCCTGCGCCAGGGCTGCGAGTATATGGAGCCCCGCCTGCGCCGCGTGAAGCAGCGCGCCATCGTGGTCGCGGGGGAGCGCGACCTGCTGATCCCCAGCGCCGAGGAGGCGGAGCGGCTGTCCAAGGCGCTGCCGCGGTGCCGCAAGGTGGTGCTGGCGGGGCGCAGCCACGCGGTGCTCCAGGAGGCGGGGGTGGACCTCTCACAGATACTGCAGGTGAACGGGTGGTTGTGTGAATGCATGTGATTGTGTGACTCTGTGTGTGTGTGTGGGTGTGTGTGTGTGTGTGTGCGTTTGTGGGATGGGGGAGGCGTACTTTGCACAGCCGGCGGAGCGCTGCGTTGGATGCGACGTGGCCGGGTTGCACGAGGGAGAGAGGCCGCCACGCAACGAGCTCGCGGGGGCGCTGCGCGTGCGATGGATTACGCCCGAGGCTTTCGGGGGTCGCTCGTTGCAGACATGGCTCCTGGGGCCGCCCTTCGGCGGGCCAATAGCAGCGCCGCCGTCCGCGATTGTGAAAAGCACTATCGACTGCTCCTGAGCTGCGGCATCAACACACGCCCCCTCAACCGACGCCAACCGCCTCCAACCGATTCCCACAACCCCACCCCCGCAGGCCCAGGGGTTCTACGTGACCCGCCGCGTCCTCTCCAACGGCACAACCAGCGCCTCCGCCGCCGACGGCGGCGGCGCCGCGTTCGGCACGACCGCGCCCGTCCAGCTGCCCACGCCGGCCGAGATCCGCGCCGACCGTGACGGCTTCGTAACTACCATCCGCCGCCTGTGCTCGCCGGTGTATTACTCGACCCTGGCTGACGGGCGGATTGTGAAGGGCTTCGACGGCGTGCCGCGGCCGGGGGCGGGCGGCGCGGGGGGGCCGCTGCTTTTCATCGCAAACCACCAGCTGTTTGCGGCCGACATGTACACGGTGAGTCATCGGTGTGGCGCGGCGGCAGACCGCCGCTTCGCCGCATTGAACCCCTGCTCCTGCGGCAGCCTGGTCATGCGTGATACAAAGAAAGAAAAAGGGCATGTGCGCCGGCGTGGCTGCGACGCGTCCTGCGACCCGTTGAAGTCTCGGGACGGGCTCACCTCGCCCCTTGACCCCATTGAGGGGCTGTGCGCTGCAGTGACACCGCCCGCTGACGTGCCCCACGGGGGCACCATCGCTTAGGACAAGCGCCACGCCCTCACCGCCCCTCCCTACCCTCTGTGCCCCCAACCCCAATCCCAGATGATCCCTGACATGTTGGAGGCGACGGGCATCCTCCCCCGCGGCCTCGCCCACCCCGCGGTCTTCGCCGGCGCCGACGCCACGCGCGCCTCGTCCCAGGACGCGCCCCCGCCGCAGGAGGCCGCCGGCCGCGGCCCCTTCTCGCTCTTCGGCGGCGGCGGCAACAGCGGCGGCAGCAGCAGCAGCAGTAGCAACGGCAGCAACGGCAACGGCAACGGTAACGGCCAGGCGGGCTTTGCGTCGCTGCTAGAGACGTATGGCGCCGTCCCCGTCAGCGCGTTTGCGATGCACCGGCTGCTGGCGAGCGGCGACAGCGTGCTGCTGTACCCGGGTGGCGCCCGCGAGGCGTTCAAGCGCAAGGGGGAGGCGTACCAGCTGATGTGGCCCGAGAAGGAGGAGTTTGTGCGCATGGCCGCGAAGGTGCGCGCCTGGCTTTTGGTTTTGGTGCGTTTTCCTTGGTCAAAACACCGCGCGCGTGGCACGAGCCTGCTGGGCAAGTGGTGGACCGACGCGCCGGCGTCTGCCGCCGAGGGAGTCCGGCCCGGGGTGATGTTGCCCTGCCGGAGCGAGCGCCCCCGGCCGCTGCGGCTGGCCCGGTGCGAATGCCTCACCCGCCGCCCTTCCGGCAGCACGCGTCCCGGCACCTCCTACCACGCCCGTGCGCGTGCTCACAAATAGCACACACACACACACAACCTCCATAGCCCCTCCCACTCATCCGCCCCAGCATCACACCCCAACTCTCACGCCCGGGTGATGGTGTGTGCACCTTGACCCGCACACCCGTCATCCTCGCCTCACCCCTTCCCGGCCCCAGCACCCCATCCACACAACACCCCACCCTCACAC